AAAAAAAACCGTATGCGGCAAATCAAAAACCGTATGAGGCAGACCAAAAGCCGTATAAGGCAAAAAAAAACCGTATGCGGCAAATCAAAAACCGTATGAGGCAGACCAAAAGCCGTATAAGGCAAACAAAAAACCGTATGCGGCAAATCAAAAACCGTATGAGGCAGACCAAAAGCCGTATAAGGCAAACAAAAAACCGTATGCGGCAAATCAAAAACCGTATGAGGCAGACCAAAAGCCGTATAAGGCAAACAAAAAACCGTATGCGGCAAATCAAAAACCGTATGAGGCAGACCAAAAGCCGTATAAGGCAAACAAAATCTCATTCAACGAACGTTAATGAAAGCAGATGATACTCGTTTGGTTTTCTTATACGGGGTAGTACGCGGGATCATTCCAAAGATAGTATTTAAAAATTTGTGTATGAACAAAATAACAGCCCCGAGTGAGCTGGCCGGGTTGGTACTAGCCGTGCCGAGCTGTGGCTTGGACCGCACGCCGCCAAGCCCCAGCGAGCGCCCCGGGCCCGGGGCCCGAATGGGGAGGCATTGTTGCGCGATACCCCGCGCCGTGGCAGGGGGGGAGGGATTGTCAATGCGGGAGGAGGTGCCATTGTTGACGCCCGGTGCCGCTGGCGCTGTACCGCGGAGGGATTGTCGAATTCCGCGCAGGCTGCGCCTCATTGCCAGCCACACGCACCAGCCCGCCCCGGCCGCCAGCCCCTATTATATTGTTAGGATACGCGCTTGGTTTCTGGACTCGAGAGTAAAAGCACGCTGACACCTTCATTTGTGTATCGTAGTTTTAAGTATGTTTCAAGTGTGAAGGTATCATCTGCTAAAAACGCAAAGTCTATCAGTCCTCCGCCCTTCGCCATCCGGAAGAATTTTATAGTTGATATATAAAGAGCGCGTCGTTTGGCGCCATATTTTTGACGCCGCCGCGCGCAACGACGAGGAAGAAGGCGGAGAAAAAACCGCAGCAAGGCTGTGGAGTCGAAAAAGGGTGGAAAGCCGTGCTGTGGAATCTAGATTTGAGCGTTCGGCGGCGCGCAACCCCATCTCATCTTGTTTATGCGTGCGCCCCGCCCAGCGCGCCCTGCGGCCGAGTGGCCCAGCGGTCGCAGACTGGACGGCTTTCTCGCTAATGAACGCCCCAAACTATCCCCTCTGTGATGTCCCGCCGCTGCCCCCACTGCTGCCCCCCACTCCTTGTCCCCACCGCGGTCCCTGCCGTCAGTTACGCGGAAAACAAACCATTTATTTCCTCTAAAGATCGTCAAGTATTGACAGCGGAGTGGTGGACCCTACAGTCCGGGTGGATCCTCCTTTTGGTACGGGCAAAACTCGCGACTAAAACTTTCAAATTCATCGCTAATTTTTGCGCAGAACTGTTGAACACAACAATGTGGTACTCAAAATGTGGACATTGAGTTGCACAGACCGACGGGTGAAAACCGCCCCAAAAGTTATCGACGACTATTGATTCGGAGACGACCTCGAGGGACTTCCCCGGCGCTCGGACGACCTTCCGGCCGGCCTTCTCACCGCTGCGCTGTGGCGGGGCGGGGCGGCGGGGCCCAAGCCCAGGCCGGCCCGCTTGCAGAGGCAGTCGTCTGCGTAATTGGACATGACACTCCATTCCGCGCGTTACGGACGGGCCAGGGCAGAGCGGGCGGGGCGGGGCGGGGGCCGCGCGCACCGCAACCCCTGTCCTTGTCAGTGCCACTGAATCCGTAATGGTGGGAAGGGGACGGACGGAGACGCACGACACAGGTGGCGGCCTGGCTGCTTGGCGGCGCGGGGAGACAGCCCGGCGTCGCTGGCGCCGCCTCGCGCCGCCACGCCAAGACGCGGCTCAAGGCCCAGGGTGGTAAAAGGCAGGGCGCCCCGCCGCCAAAGTGCACCGGGAGGCGCACTCAATATTCATCAGCGAGCCCCACACGTAGGGGATGGTGCTTTCCGAGATCAACTAAACGCCGCGCCGTAATCATCACTGCCAGGAAGTCTTTTTCTGAATCGTGGGCTAACATGCACTAAGAGGGCGAATTTTCTCATAGAAACATTCCCGTCCCTTTATTTCGAGTCCACTTTGAGGCTCCAGGTAGGACTCCGCAGCCGGCGTGTCCGAGCGCGCCTCCAGAGACCCAGCGCTGCCCTGTCCGTTTTTCCGCCACGTTACTCCGTGCGTCCCACGTGACATGGCGTGGCGGTGCACGCTGCAGTGCGACCCTGGAGTTCATATTTGCGGCTCGCGACACCAGCAGAAGGGCGTTATCCTGGTGAAAGGCTCGGCGGAGAGGTCACGGCGAGGGCGTGCACGCAGCGACGGGCGCCACGGTGACCATCACGATGACCACCACGATGACCACCACGATGACCACCACGACGGCCACGGCAACGCGAGGACCACCAACGACCTCGGCGCTGCCCGGCGCTCCCCAACCTGTCCACACGTCGAGGACTCGGCACACTCCCTGCCACGGATAATTAATTGATTGATTGTGACCTGCGAATGCCTCGCCTTCCCCCTCTCTCACTCTCGGTCCCTCTTCTCTCTCGCTCTGCGCCTCTTCACCGGCCTTTCCCGAGATAGACCACCGGGGCGAAAAACCCCCTCTCCGGAGAGCGCTCTTGACTTGTTTTCTGCAACAATTTCACAGCTGAAAAACGACATCTTTCAACGATGAAGAGCGTACTCCCCTCATGAGAAAACAAATGATTCAGCAACAACAGCCCTTTCTCCAGCGGCGTGTTCCAGGCCGGCTCGTGATCCCGACCCGGTGACCTCCGAGGTGACCTCCCGAAATCGCTGGACGTGTCGCTTCGCTTTCGCCTCCAAACCGTCTCGTAATGATGACTTTATGGATTCGAGCCGATAGGCATCGACCTGAGACAGGCGCCCGTAATGCAGCCGTCACCGGCAAAACAAACCGTTTGTGTAATCGAACGGCGCATCTCCTGCAGCATCATCGGAACAAACACGATTATCGATTTTCGCTGGGCTTGACCATTTTCTCGAACGATGTTGCCGGCGTTGGACACATTTTCAGGCAGTGGGACGGGGCGTGCGTGATCGTGGCCTTGCCGGCTATCTCAGCCTGTTTCGCGAAACCGGTGACTTGGATGGACGGTGACGTGCGAACGGAGGGACGGCCGGACGGGCGGCGGTGCAGGCGGACGGACAGACAGACGGACGGACGGACGGACCGGCGCGGCATTTAGGCATTCGCATTCTGACTCTTTTCCAAACGTCCACACCTCTCTGGGAGAATAAGATGGACAGCTTTGAAGGGACGGCCGAGGCGTGGAGGGCGTGACGGGTCGGGAGTGACGAGACTGCGCTCCAAGTTCACCGCACGTTAAAAAACAAAAACGAAAAAGGGACTTGGCATTTTTATTTGATGTGAATAAATAAACCAAAACGACCCGGAAAACTATGCGCGTTGTTTCTGGACGCTTAATGCTTCGGGGCTGACGGCCGCTGACAGGGCCCGTCTTTAGCAGAGCAGCGCGCATGATCTGAAAGCTATAACCTGTCATGGCTAATCGAATCAGGGCTGTCCGAGCGGGTACCCTTCTTAGATTCAATTGGGAGATGCGGCGGACGTGTGAACTTTGTAAGCGGGGCGGTTTAAAACGCCCCACGTCACTGCGAATAGCTCACTCCGCTACACTGCGCCGATGCACCATGTTTTAATTTTCAGACTGGCTTTTTTCGCAGTGTGCGACGGCGCCCCCACTGTAGGGACTCGGCAAGTGATGTGGCGAGCGCCACTTGCCAGACAAATCCATTCATTACCACTATCTCGCCAACTTTCCTCAACTTTGGGGGCGGCGGCTTGCGAGGCTGGGGCCTTTTAAAGATATGCGGACACCTTCGCGAGTTGGGTTGTCGTTGTCGAGGCCCTGTCCCGGGGCCCCACGGCCCCACGCCCCGCGCCCCGCCTGCCAGGCTCGGCCTTCACGGTTCGCGAGCCCGGCGGGCTGGCGGCCCCATCCAGGCCCATCCAGGCCCATCAGCCACAAAACCTCGGGGAAACTTCTGCGAAGGGAGGCGAGACAAGGTCCCCGTGAATGCGCGCTGCGACGCGCTGCCGCGATCAAAACGGGGCGCGAAAGTTGTCAATCGCCTTGACTTCATCAGTGCTGTTTGTGCTGCGTTTCCGATTCCCTGCGAGACAAAAGGCTGCAGCCACATTACGGCCCGGCACGGAGCTCCACCAGCGACGCTAGCGGGGCTGCGGGCAAAACTGCAGGCTCTGGGTGATGCTTTGCTGGCGTGGCGGAGCACGGCTCTAGTTTCGGAACGAAAAGTGACGATCGAGTCGACACACTGTGACAAAGTCGGGATTGGGCGAGCAGAGCCATAGGGACACAGCAAAAAAGCAGCCTCCGGTTTTGCAACAAAATGTCAACGGTCGACCCCTTTTCGTGCCCCCCTGTTGCCGAGCCAGGAAGTGACCTCCGCTACGGGCGGGCTTGCGGGCCTCTCGTCCGAATAAGGACGAATGTGAATCTCCAGCTAACAAGCTGGTGCGGGCGGTGCGGACCTGCCTGGCGACAGCGCCGCTTCTTCCTGCTGAGTTTTTCATCCGGCAGGAAAAGCGGGCAACAAATCTCAGTTTGAATTCCCCACCGGCCTGGCTAATGCACTCCATCCCTGCAAAATGCAAGCCTGTCCGGGACGCGGCACCACTAGCCCCGGCAGCGGGCCGCCCCCCTCTAGGGCCGCCCTGCCCCGCTCTAGGGCTGCAGGGCGGCAGCTTGTTAGAGATTCGTCGCGTTTTGTACTCGAGGCCCTTTGTCCCCGGGGTTCTGCCGAGAAACCCCGTCTACTCCTCTCACGGGAAGGGCCCCTCCAAGGCCTTCCACGTGGCTCACGGTGCGTCAGAGCGTGGCCGCGAGACATCGTAAAAACGCGCCGACGACACGATTTCGTGATCGTCGAGTGTGTGTACGACGTGGAAAATGCTTTTAAATACGGACGCGCCGCACACCACCCGCACTTTCGATACGAACTCGCAGCCATGGCCGTCCTTCGTGTTTTTGCAGTCCTCGCGTTCGTCGCCGTCACCTCGGTTGCGGTAAGTGTGTGCCAACGTCATCATCCGCGCTGATAGGCCTCAAAAGACCTGCAGCGTTCGAGTAAGCTACCACAACAAACCCAAGACGCAGACTACAAACCTCGGTACCTGATTGAAAAAAGTTAAAACTAGTGACTAGCGAACCCTGACCTAACTTTTTCAGACCACCGACAGCGCCGCTGCGGTGAAGGAGGCGCAGGCGCTCGCCAAGGCGCTGCCCGCCCCCCTGCAGCAGCAGTGGACCGCCAAGATCGCCCAGCAGACCAAGAACCTCACCGCGGCGGAGAAGAAGCTTGAGGGTCAGTTCACCGGCGAGAGCCTCAAGGGTGTCACCGCGGCCTTCGCTGAGCTCGACAAGGTGGAGCAGAAGATCCTGGCCAACATCACCGCCTTCGTCAAGCTGCAAAGCACCCAGACCGATGCCATCATCAAGAACTACACCTCCCTTCTCACCGCGCGCGCTGCCTCACCGGTATGTATTGGTTTAGGAACAGCAGACTGTCGAATATTTGCTAGATTTATCAAAATGTCTTGCAATGTCCTTGCTGCAGTCCACCGAGGAGAAGCCCATCCACGATGTCAGGGCCGATGCGACCGCCGCGATCAACTCGTGGGTGCCCCTCCTGGCGTCGGTGCACCAGTACGCCGCCCAGGCCTTCGAGAGCGCCGTGCGTGCACAGGCCACCGCCCTCAGCAAGAGCCTGAGCAACCCTGTCAACGACCAGGTCCGCGTCGCTATCACCAACGCCGGCATCCAGCTCCTCGAGGTGCTCGTCCAGGAGCAGAACGCCGACACCTTCCTGCTGACCAGCACCCAGTTCAACAGCTTCCAGAACTTCTTCCAGAAGTCCGAGGACGCCCTGATCCAGCTGCTGGTGGAGGCCAAGAACAAGAAGACCAGCCAGTAAACCTGGAAGCAAGTAAAATACACGCTTGGCGCCTATCTCTCGAGGAACATTTTTTTCCCAGTGACGGAGGACGTATTTTGAGGACGTTTCCTGGTATCGCACATAGCCCCAGGGGAGCGGGCACAAAGCAGAAAGACCAGAGTAAAGAGCATCAGATGCAAAGAGTTAGCGGCAGAAACGCTCGCAGCAGAATTCGTGATAGCATATCGCTAAGCTCACACGCACTCCAGCCCGGGGCGGCGGGGGCTGCGGGGGCTGCGAGGGGCAGGGCGAGTCCCAGCCGCCCCCATACTTCTCTATGTACTCGGGACTCCGGGCGCGCGTGTGGTTGCGGATTTCGGCAAGTCTCTTTCTCTTTCTCCGTCCCTGCCCCCGGCCCGCCCGGCCCGCCGCCGTTTTGTGCCGAGTTTCCTGCAACTTTGGAGCCGGGATCCAGTAGTCGTTATGACGGCTAAGAGTTGCTCAGCCTCCGCGGCGCTCTGCGGCTCGCGGCCCGCGCTGCGCGTTCCGTGTTTGAGTTCTGCTAACAGCCCTCAGCCCTGCGGCCCGGCCCGGCCCCGCAGCCTGCGACATGTAATACCCGAAAGCGGCTGGACCCTCGCGAGCTCCTGAAAGGCTGCTCCGTCCCGATGCCGCGGTGCCTCTTCGCCGGAGTCCTCCGTAGCTTCCGCCCGGAGCGCCTTCAAACAGCGCGCTGCGTGGTCGGCCGGCGCGCCGCAGTTGCGGGCCCCGCCGCCAGAGGGCAGGACCTGCCGGGCTGGCTCATTCAGAGTCCAGCGCGCGGCGGCGCAGCACGCCCGGATCAACTTGCCTCGCGCAATCAAGAATTTGGCGCCAACTGTGATGTGCCGGCGGCGGCCGGTGGCCAACTTTGGATTGGACTGCCGTGCGGGCATCGAGGACCTTCGCGTCCCGTTGGACCGCCGGGGCACGACTGCACTCGCCGCCCTGCGACAACAGGCAGTGCATTAGACTCCCTAGGAATGCATAAATAATTGTCACGCGAAAATCTGCAGTCGCCACATAAATATTTCAGGGCCGGGCTTGTATTATTTAAACGGGTCGGCTTGAAACACGGCACGGACCTTGTTCTCGTTCGTCGGGAAGTCCTGCCGCGTGTCGTTCGATCCTGCCAAGCGGCGTTTTCAAGAAAAGTGTCCCAAAGACGTTATTGAAAATGGTTAACGACAGCAATAGAACGCGAAAAAAAAACCACTTAAAACTACCACCTACAGGCATTTTTTGTGAGGCCGGGTGCGAGGGGCCCCAGCCGAAGGGTACCCGTGATGGATTGGATGACCAAACTTTTACTCTCGTTCAGGTAATTACCGGCAGAATGGTTCGCTGTTATGAGGGTCGAACGCCCGGCCCGATCCTGCCTCCATAGGCAGCCAAATGAGATGTACCGGGGACGGTTCCCACAGGACTCACATGTGTTCACCCTCTGATTCATTCTAAGAACACTACACAGATTTAGGACCGTCTTGGAAAGAAAGTTTTCCGCGCAAGAACGTAAAACAGGCAGTAAATGCAACATAACGTGGTTATTAAGGGAATGGTAGAAATTCAATGATTACTTATGTAAAGGCTATTTCGCTGCAGTGAATTCCCTACTTTGACTAATTTTTCCTTAGCCTTTCAAACTTCGAGGTGGCCACCCAGCCCCAGCGAAGAATGTGATTAGAGCATGTAACATTCCTCGGAAAACTCGAGCCTGGCCACACTCTTGATGGAAAAAGCCCCCTCTGCCGCCCAGACTGCCTGGCCCTAGCCCGGCCCTGGACCAATATTGGATATGGGTACCTTCTCGGTTGAACCATCGTCGCCGGCGGCAAAACGCGCTCATAAACAAGGTAACCGATTTGCTCGGGTCCGGCTCAAAGCGACGCGTTACATTACTGCTGTTGTTGTTGCTGCCCGGGGCTGCGCGCGTCCACCTTGCCGCCCCGGGATGGTCTGGCCCGGCCTGTCTGACGGGGAGCGAGCGGCCTAACAATCGAATTAACGCCTTCATAATTAAAACGAAATAAAAACGAGAAAAATGCAGCGAGTGACACAATGTGGGACTGGGCCGCGCTGCATACGGAAACCGAGAGGCCGTACCGAGTGGAGAGAGGAGGGGGGAGGAAGGGAGAGAAAGAAAAATTAACAAGAGGATGTTCACGCGAATTACGTCTACTATGCAAGAATGCGAGTCGCGAAGCGATGTGAACGAAAAGAGGCGGCCCGAGTGCATAAAATACGTGGGTGGGGCGTGGTGGGGCGTGGCACTGAGGTGCACCCTCGCACAGGAGTTGGTATTTTGGCTACTGTGCACGCGGGATACAGCAAAAGCACTGACTGCTAAACTAACTGGACCGACCCACCATCACCATCGCGCGCGCCTCGAACATAGTTGTCTCGTGGTGGAAACGGGGGCTGTCTGGAATGCGTGATGGAATGCAGGACGATCCGTTTCTTTCATTTCCATTTGGGCCGACAAAGACAGTGGGCCAGCAGCGGGGCAAAGGTGTTCGATGGACGCGGAAGGCCCCGGGCGTGGGGCAGCCAGGGGCCAGGTAGGCCCGACACCACCCGACACCCCGAATCCAGTTCGAAGCGAGGGCGAAGCGTGGGCGCGTGGGTCATGCGGGCCGCCTGAACCGTCGGAACTGGTGTCGGGGCCGAAAGCCTATCACTTTCTCCACGGAGATGACTCCAAAATTGACACTTTAAAAATACCAAAAAGAGAAAAGTAGTTTTACATATATTTTTTTTGAGAGTTCATTTTTTTAATACCCGCCACTTCTTGGTTGTCGGTCCTCCCTTTTCTGCGTCTCAGTACTGACCCTGCACGGATATCATGGTCGTATGTATTGGAGAAGATATCAAAGAATGCATCCTTCGCATCATAACTCACATCACACGTCCCCTGCACTAAAACAAGAGCCAGTCGTGACTAATACGAGTCCCTACATCGGTGCACCCCTTCCTTACCCCCATCGGCCTTAATAAATGCCCCGACAAAATAACAATCATGGCCGACTTATGAAATTGGAATGTTGGTATGCGAAGTTACACGCATCCATGTGCATCGCTCTATTTTGTTTTCTTTCGGACAACGATTAGCCTGTGATTTACAGGGGCGGTCTTTTGGATGACGTCATGCCTCAACCACTGACTGCTCTCTTCAGGTGACTGCGAAACAAAAACGGAAAAGAAATGTGCGAAACTTTTTTGCCGCGGTTGTAGCCATTCCAGCGTGTGTCTGCTGCAATAAAACTGCAATTATAAGCACCGGAAATCAAAACCTCACCTTTATAATGAATTCGCACGTTGTTAGCGGGAGGGGACGCCGCGAAGGCTTGTGCGAGCAGCGCTCCAATTAGAAGCACCAATCAGCAGGCGACAAAGCCAGGGCGCTTTTTACACAGGGGATTCACACAGACAGAAGCACACACAAATATGTGGCGCTTTTTTTCATTTTTTTAATCTCACTGTCATCCTTGCGACAGACAGTAGCAGCAGCTTAACCTCGGATAAAACGCAAAGAGCACGATAAGAGTTTAAGTTTACTAGCGACATTTCACGTGGTATCGCCGCGTTGACATTCAGACACAAGATCAAGTTCGCCAGTGTACCCTTTCGTGGCCGCGGTCCCTTCCGGTCGTAACCTCCACGCGGCGCACGCCTGCCGGGGGTCAAAGGCCCTACACCGCAAAGACAATTAAATCACACGCAATTCGTTTTCTCGTTCGGTCTAGCCTCGCGTGCGGTGGCGTGGGCCTGCCGAAGGCGAAGGAACGGAACGAGTCGAGAATGAATGTCCTGCGTAGAGTGTCTGCTTTACGGACTTTCCCCTGCGGCTGCTATCCGCAGAACGATCTCGTTATTCGGGACGACGCGCCGCAAAAATTGAACTGTCGCCGTGGCAGCGTTTTTCCCGGCCAGCGCGCCAACGACTGTATTAGGAGACGCTGCCTGGCGCCCGAGCCCGAGCGGCTCGGCCTCGGCCCGGCCCATAGCACAGCTGGGTACATTATTAATGCGTTCCAAATATTCGTCCGGTCCGCATAATATCTCACGGCGGCGAAAGCCCGGCCGCCGCGATGAATGCCCACACACTACAGTCTTTATGGGGCGGCCTGAACGATCTGGGCTGCGCGGGCTGCGCGGGGTAGCGCTGGCTCCAGGCAGCAGGGGGTAGCGCCAGTCGGTCCAATCGTGTGCTCTAGTATTCGAGCAGCGAGCGACATGTTAATTTGAGGCGGGAACGGGAATCGGTCCTTTCTGAAACCTCAGTAGTAAGGGTGCTCCATTGTTACCGGTGGCCATTTTCAGCGCCACAGCTTGCATTTACTTCGAAAGAATTTCTTCATTTTTTATTGCGGCTGGTTGATAATTCGGACTGATCTAGCGCGGTCATTGGTCTCTCGCTCCAGACATGACGCGCCGTGCTCCAGGCTCCAGGCTCGGCTCCAGGCTCGGCTCCAGGAGGCTTGTCGGCGGGGGTCCCCGTCCGGCACCGTCCACCGTGATGGATCTGGTGCGGAAGGCGGGGGCGACGGGCGCGGCGGGGCGCGGTGGGGCGCGGCGGGGCGCGGAGGAACGGGGAGACCCACGCCAGGGGGTCCCCCAGAGCCCACCGCTCGCTGACCATGGCCACCGAGATAACAACAAAAGAAGAAAAGGAAATTTGAGATGACGAGGTGAAGTTTTGACCACCGCCTAATTCAATTTTCCGCGTTTGGGATTCCGAGGTTTTATCACCGACCGGGAAATTTGGAGCCGCTGATCCTTTTATCTGCTGACAGGCTAACGAAGAAGAGGTAACAGCGTGGCGAGCGGCCGCGGCCTCTGGCAGCTCTGGCACCACCATGGCGATGGCGGCACCAGGAGCGGTCACCACAACACAGGCCACCGCGGGGGGCGCGGGGTCTCAGGGGCCGCCAACCCTCGCGAGGGTGGGGCACACCAACCAAGGCACCAAGCTCGTCGCAAATTGAAAGCGTATCATAACAAGGATGGTGTTACGGGCCGTGTGCCGACGACAACA